ACTTAGACAGTCGCCACTATGGTGTCTTGTCAAGTGAGCAACGCCGGATTAACCATGGTGGGGGCCCTGAAATTTTCAGAAATTGGAGGCCGGAAACGTGATTTCCTGAGGAATTCCAACCCGACCGCCTCTCTCTCAAATTTCGAGACGGGGCACTCTTGGCCAACCCCCGTTCCGTCATTTCGTTCTCACAAGTCCCACACACGGGCCGCAAGGGGTTCTCGGGGGAGGGGTGGGTCTCCCCCCTTTGAAATTTTCAGAAATTGGAGGCCGGAAACGTGATTTCCTGAGGAATTCCAACCCGACCGCCTCTCTCTCAAATTTCGAGACGGGGCACTCTTGGCCATCTCTTTTCCCCCCGGTCCGTCATTTCGTTCTCACAAGTCCCACACCGATTGCGTGTAGACACGGGCCGTCGGGCAAACGGGTAAAAATTCGCCCCCCTTCTTCTTCTCCCCTCTTGGCCAGGAGACCCTCGGCTGGGGCGCGAGTGCTATGAAATGATGGCATTTCCAGAGGAGGGGGATGAAGCCCATTAAATCCGCCACTGTAAGTGAGCAGAGCTCCATTAAACCTAATTGTGAAGTCGCTCAGTGATAAATAACGGGGTCACTTGATTCGGAATCGTATTATATCCCCCACGATAATTTGATGAATGGAGGCCGTAACGTTACGACCAAGCCGGACTCGATTTTTGACGAACGTCTAACACTGAATATTTCGTGTGATCATGATGTGCATCTCATCAAATTCAGCTTATACCCTACAACAAATACCAACAACAACAACAGCTTTATATACAATCGTACGTCAATCTGAAGCAAAATTCGCGCTACTCAAAATGATGGGGACGGGTAATTTGTTCGAGTTATACGATGATTCGAGTTAGACGATGTTCGGTCCGATAGAAGATCTCACGACAATAAAAGACCATGTGTTACACCCTTAGATAAAGCCACAAAAAGCGTTTATTTTTCAAATCTTCAAGTTTCCGGGAAAGTTGCCAAGGCACACTCTCCTGCAAGATCCATTATTTACAGTTCGAGTGAGGCTATGTAAATATAAGACTTAGATAAGGATTTTACCGGAAATTTGGTTCGAGCTATGCGATAATTCGAGTTACAGTTTCCGAGTTATTCGATGTTTTATAAAAGGAAAACGAAAGAAAATATTCGTTCAACGAATTTTGTTCGAAGTGGTGATAATTCGCGTTATACGGGGTAAAGTTACGCGGAGTTTTAGCTGAATGATAATGATCAATGGATGAACACTCTTCTTTTTTTGCCCCTGGCGAGATTTGCAATGGTTTCTTCGGCATTGATGGCGCGCAGGATATCGCTTTCAGAGGCCAGCCGAACCAAATACACTAGCCCATCGTAGACCGGAGATAATTTTGAATTTGGAGAAAGATCTCTCCCCAGAACAATTAGATATCATCATACACAGTTTATATTCTCAATATTGCTTCAACGTTGGGGAATGTGGCCCCAGGGACTTCCGATGGAGGGCCCTCGGAGCATCGGAGGGGCCCCGTCACTAGGTCACCGGCCGTTGGCGTGCTCGGTCCGACCATGCTTGAGGCGCGCAACTGTGATTTTTGTGGGGGGCCCTCTAATGTGGGGGGCCTGGGCCCCATGGTTAATCCGGCGTTGACCATTTCCAACAAAGAAAACTATTTTATTTTTAGGCACCAAACAAGAAATTTTTGTTACGAATGACCTACATGGTAATCTACAATGAAAAAATCTCAGATCTTTTGTCTAGCGAGAAAAAGTTATCAAGAACAGACCAAAGTGGTACACATCTCTGCAATCAGTTCACAAAATTTAATCAAAGGTAAATTTGTCCCATCCTTCCTATACTAGTAATATGCTTGATGTTTTTTGGAGTATCAACTTTTCGACAAAATAAACTGAAATGAAATTTTTTAAAGTTTCTATATTTTGAAAATGTGGGGGGTGGGGGGGGGCTGAATGATAATGATCAATGGATGAACACTCTTCTTTTTTTGCCCCTGGCGAATTTTGCAATGGTTTCTTCGGCATTGATGGTGCGCAGGATATCGCTTTCAGAGGCCAGCCGAACCAAATACACTAGCCTATCCTGACCCATCGTAGACCGGAGATAATTTCGAATTTGAAGAAAGATCTCTCCCCAGAACGTTGGAGAATGTGGCCCCAGGGACTTCCGATGAAGGGCCCTCGGAGCATCGGAGGGACCCCGTCACTAGGTCACCGGCCGTTGGCGTGCTCGGTCCGACCATGTTACGAGTCACATACATGGAAATCTACAATGAAAAAATATATGATCTTTTGTCTAGCGAGGAAAAAGTCATCAAGAGCAGCTAAAAGTTAGTACTAACAAGAAACAGACCAAAGTGGTACACATCTCTGCAATCAGTTCACAAAATTTAATCAAAGGTAAATTTGTCCTATCTTTCCTATACTAGTAATATGCTTGATGGTTTTTGGAGTATCAACTTTTCGACAAAATAAACTGAAATGAAAGTTTTTAAAGTTTCTATATTTTGAAAATGTTTGCTTTGACCTATAAAGGCTATATCTGTTACTTAACTGACTTGATCATATATGTATATTGCATCAAAGTACTTATATAAATGTTTTGTAATAATATGAGGATGGATTGGAATGGATGTTTTTTTTTCTCAGTTATTTTGAAAATATTGGCAAACTCTGGTACAAGAAAGATGTCATTTCAAGAAAGTAAGGTGACTATTTACATTTTCAACTTATAACACGCATTAATGTGTGTCATGGCAAAATATGTTTCTTGCTCTCGCTGGACAAAACGTCGTAAAGTTTTATCAACTATACAACGAAATACATACAAAGGACATTATAACTGAATTTGGTAAAACTCTAGTTTGGTGCCACCCCTACACACAAAATATTCAGCCTTGGTGTATCTACCAACCTTGAACAGAATGACAAACATATATATTATTATGGACTCAATATTATGCCCCCCCCCTCCAAAACAAAAAAGTTATGAGTCAAATTTGTTGATATAGGTATGTTAGAACAACACTGACAGATAAATGCTTTTTTCTGGTGCCCTTTTTTCACAAAAAACTGTAACCATTTATGTTAATGATCAGGATGATGAAGCTGCTTGGGTGTGCATGTTTTAAGACGTAACAACTCACATTAAAATAAATGTGAATTTATGGAAGAATAGTTTCGTTCGATATGTGATATTTTGCAGGTAATATAGGGCACTTACTTGTTTTTTCGTTCTGTTTAAGATAAACCGACTTGGACGATTAAGTGGCAGGGATATCCTGTCCATCGTTAACAATATCATGAAAAATTTCAGTGTCACTTATGTACAACCCCGTTACAATTGGACAGGATAAAAAGGCAAGCGTGAATTAGGGGCACATTCTACAGCTACCATTGTTTTTAGTAAGTAATATTGATGATACGTCATTGTTGGAAATAAATGCAAATCAATAATAGTTCTGGTACGATGGGGTTTATTTTAATGTTTTTACAATCGTTCATCAAAAGTCTGTTTTGAACCCTCTGCATATTTCAGGTGCAATTTAGATTTGAATTGTATGTGTTTTGTGGTCTAAGGGGAGATCATATGGAAAGAGTTTTGTTGCTTTGTCAGGTTGCACATCAACAGACCTAATGTGCTTTCCTTTTGAATTACAGATCCAGTCAGAAGAAATCCAATGTTTTGAAACACCACAAACAAGGAAATCAAAGCTTCAGTTAGTCGTTTGAACTGGTTTCCTGACAAATTCAAGGGACGGGATGGTGGGAGACCTCAACGAATTTCAACCGTCCTAATAATAAAACATGAAACCAAATATAAATAGTTTTGTACTTATTTGGTACAAGATCCCATATGATTCCCATATTATGCCCATATAACATTTATTTGCACCCCACATGAGTCCCATATAATAACCATATGGTAGAGTGGCCCACAGACTCAATTATCTCTACTATATAAACTGACCTGTTTTATCAGCATGTTGTCACGCGGATCAAAACTTTGTTTATGAGAAAAGTGCTCTCACGGGCTCGCTCGTGCAGCAAACAGTCGCCCAAAATAGACATTCACGTGACAATATTCATTCACTTATTTATCAATGAAGCCATGTAAAAAATTATTCTTTACTCGTTGGACTTTTAAAAATAAGTAGTTAAGAACTAGATTAAAATTTTGGCTAAAACTCAGCGATTTAATTTCTAAGTTAGTTGATTGTAACCAATGGGTCCCATGCAAGCCCCATATTACATTTTTTTGCACCCCACATTGAGTCCCATATAGTACCCATATTACATTTCCTAACATTGCTATGTAGGTCCTATGTAAGTATGCACGATACTCGGTGACCTTGACAATATTAAAGCTCTTGATTCAACTAGAGTTGAAACAGGTTTATTCAGATTGTTAAAATTCCTCTCAAGACAGTCGATGTTTACAAGTCAATGTTGTCAAGTATTACGTCACATGTTTTTACACCACTGTATTCGAGTTCAAGGTGACCAGCTTCACACGGATATAGCTTACATGTAGTAACAACCCAATAGACACGGACATAGTAAGTAAATGGAAAAAGAATGGGGTTTCACGTCTTACCTTTCTGCACCGATTGGGCTAATGAAGAAGGGCATACGCCAGTGTGCTATGAGGAGAATTGTGCCTACTCTTATATCAAATTCCAACTGCCAAGGCTTCTTTTCCGTACGAAATAAAATGAAATGGGGTTTAATGTCCTACTGTTCTGCTCCGAACTCGGTTAATGAAGACGGACATACGTCATACAGTGTGCTATGAGAGGAATTTGATAAAAGTACTATCAATTCAATTCAAGTCTGACTTGAGGACAATAATGTATTTAAATTTAAGAACTACAGATAATTTACAAATAAATACAGTATGATAAAACACAATTTCAGCCAGGATAATCAAATGATGGACAACAAATGTAGTATTTTAAAATAAAACAAGTAAATGCAGTACTATAGACGCCAAGCAGGATAATCAAATGATCGACAACATTTGAAATCGATCCTTGCATTGTTCGTTTTTGCTAAATATAAAAGACTCGATGCGCTATAGGAATCCCTTGCAACTCTTTGAACATTTAATCTCTAATAGGAATATCATCAGCCTAGGAATATCATCAGCCTAGTAATAAATCAATTCCGTCCAGTATTTATAGAGTTATGATAAAATGTATTTTCATCGAGTGTAACAAGACGCCGCCATCTTTTATTCCCATGGTAGTTGAGAAACATACTTGGCTTAGTTTAAATCCGGGTTAATCCAAGCGATGAGATTTATCTAGCGTTGATATTTTGATTTTGTTTTCTTAAGTAAATGTCAAATAATCAAGATGAGTACAGTCGTTGGAAACTCGATATTTTAGCGAAAATGCAAATGGCGCCTCCTGCATTTAAAAAAACAACAAAGGGCGTACAAAGTGCAATCTTAATCTGTGGTGAACAATTCCGTGTGTTTTTAAATTTGTTGCTTCAAATTACAGTAGCGAGGTATGGGGTATATTCCTTTTTGCTGGTTATAAATACACCATAGATCTATTAACCAATTGGTACCTACAAATGGCGGATTGTATATCTCATCTGAAAATAGACAAATAATTGGTTGGATTGAACGCGGTGTATAAAGGATGTAAAATTGTTCCAATCGGTAAATTACAATTACTGCAAACAGCTAGAAGTTTAGTTGGATCAAGATGAAGAGTTAAAACAAGACTCAACAGTCCATTATAGTATAATGTTAAACCTACCATCTGAGGGTTGGTTCACCGTATCGATATCTACGAATTGTTTTAAATCATCGATGTTCACAGTATCGCTATCTACGGGTTGGTTCACCGTATCGCTGTCAACGACGAATTGGTTTAAAGTATAAACTAACGCCAACATCTTCACCAATATCAATAATCTTACCCACATCTTTAATTCTGTGACATAAAATACAGTAATATAATTAGACTACATATTTAAACGATTACATAACCAACATAAGAACATGTACAATTCCGTTCAACGAGGCCAATAATTGCCAAAAATATTTCAGTGGTCTGAAGCCTACCAGTTAACACTGTTATTTAATTATTCAGTATTAACCTGTAAAATCAATTCAACAGTCCCAATAATAATCTGAATCCTACCTGTTCAAGATCCTAACTATCCAAACAATTAACACTCCTACAGAACTGTAAAATCCTCTTAATAAAACAATAATATTCTCAATAATTCGAATTTCAATTTATCATTTAAGTTTACTGAAGGAAACACCTATCTACTTTGTATTACACGCACTCTGACCTATTTCATGCTTTCAAACTACGTCTTACATTACACAGGTATAACCTGTTTGAATGACACACAACTATTTACCTGTGAAGTTTCGTGAGTTAATTACTAATACCTGTACGATGTAAAACAACCCTGAACATTTGCTAATTGATTTAGAAATTCCACACAAAAATTGAATGTGAATTATTTTATATACTCGTATTAAATTAAAATGTGCTTTTAGAGAAAATGAATGATGATAATAAATATAACTGGCCTTAAAATTATGAAGAACATTAATGCTAATAAAGGGTCCAAAGAATATATATATATATAAATAAAGTAAATGCGTCCATTCTAGATGATTATTTTATTACTGACATGTTTCATAGTAATGTAGGTAACTAGGTATAATGTACTGTGATACTGTTTAGCTAAGTCAATTGTTTTTGTTTCAGGGTTCTATTTTTATTTTTACTGATACATTGTTGTTAACGCATTGAGATGTATATGTAATGCGTATAAGAAATAATAAATTAAATTAAATAGAAACAATAGCGTGACGTAATAACGTCATTATAATGGATAATTATATGCATCAAATTCAAATTATATTCAAATCAAACCATTTAATTTCGGTTGATATTTATCGATGAAATATTGTTCTTTGATTCTCATTCGTATATTACCAGATGTAGACATATTGTAGAATGGATATATAACAAAATTAGAGGTTTTATCCTTCGCACAGGTATCAATATGTTGTCTATGAATATTCATTCTTTTTCTCTTCATACACCCGATAGTTTTTTTTCCCTGCAACATCTTTATTTCGAATATCTAACACCTAAGAGTAGCTTTAACTATATACATATTAGAGAAAAAACACTAAAAATTAAAATTTTGGCTAGTACTTTCATCGTTATCAAACGAATCGCCAGGCCATTTAAAGGGGTCAAAACGTCACTCAAATCAGTTTGGTCCAAGTAGATTAAAATGGAAGAAGAAAAATCAAATAGAATCTGGAATAAAAAGAGAGAATTCCTTTCGAGTTTACCTACTAAAGAACTCGAACAAACTAATAACCAGGATGCCTCCACAGAGGTAAATAATGAGGATAACAACCTTCGTACGCCTAGTGATGATCACTGGAGGAAGGTTTCTCGAAAACAGACCTCTAAATACAATACCCTCAAAGGTTATACTCCCGGTCATAACCAGGGCCACAGCAAACCATGACGACCCACAAACAAACGACAGGGGGATTATCAACAGAGCAGGAGAACGACACCCAACGGACTTCATCAAGGGGAATTCCAAGAGAGGAAATACGAACAAAGGAAATATCAACAATGGGACAGATATATCAGCAACGAGGGAACAAACAGGGGATTTATCAGAGGAAAGAATCTCAACAGAGGAACAATCAACGGAATCTATCGAAAAGGAGAAACTAAATCCTAAAATTATTAATATTTCTTCCCATAGTTTTACGGAAATTGAAATCCTACTTTTACAAAGGGGGGGGGGGTGAAATTCACACCTACGCCTAAAACCAATATGTGTGAACTCAAACTCTGTCGAAAACTGCGATTGTGGGAGGAATTCGGGGATTTAAATTTTTCTAAAGAGTATTTAGTGCACAACAAAAGTTGTTATAATCCACGTCGCGGAAAGAATAAAACTTTAGACAAATGTACTCTTACAAAAAAGTAGGGGATACTGAAATGCAAATACCTATGCTTATTGTGATATGATAAATAGTCATGGACACTTGACTTGCTTTGAGAATATGTTCACAGATGATGAACTTATCGCCCTAACATAACCACTGAGCTGCATGTGCGACACGCAATAGCGCCATACACTTGGGAGGGGTTCATTGTCAAATTTGACCTTCAAGGAAGGGTTGCCCTAAACCGGGTAAAGATCCTACGAATCCTACTAATTATCGTCCGATCGCTTTAACTAGCTGCATTTGCAAAACCATGGAGAGATTGATCAATCGAAGGCTTGTTTGGTACCTAGAGTCAAACAACCTCATTACAGACCTCCCAATGTGGATTTCGGTCCCACAGGAGCACTCTTGATAATCTCGTTAGATTTGAAACGTTGGTCAGGGATGCTTTCATCCAGAAACAACATTTAGTGGCTATATTCTTTGATCTGGAGAAAGCATATGATACCACATGGAAATATGGTATCATGCGCGACCTGCATAACCTCGGTCTGCGGGGTCGCTTACCTATCTTCATTAAAAACTTCTTAGCAGATAGGTCGTTTAAGGTACGTTTGGGATCAATATTCTCTGACCCATTTCCCCAGGAAATGGGAGTCCCCCAGGGAAGTATATTGTCTCCCACACTTTTTTCTATCAAAATAAATACGATACCGACGTGCCTTAAACGCGGGGTCGACGGCTCGCTTTATGTTGATGACTTTCAGATGTGTTACGGATCGACAAGCATGCAGACAATCGAACGTCAGTAACAGCTTTGCTTGAATTCTATTCAACGATGGGCAACTGACAATGGATTTCGATTTTCGAAATCCAAGACTGTGTGCATGCACTTCTGTCAAAGAAGAGGTTTACATCCTGATCCGGAGCTTACACTGGATGGTAGCCCCATTCCAGTTGTAGAGGAAACAAAATTCTTGGGTTTGATATTTGATAAGAAATTATCATTTATCCCTCATATAAAAACACTCAAGAAGAAATGTCTGAAAGCCCTCAACATATTGAGAGTCTTATCAAACACTGACTGGAGAGCAGACAGTAAGGTCTTGCTCAGATTATATCGAGCATTAATAAGATCCAAACTCGACTATGGGTGTATTGTGTATGGGTCAGCCCGCGAGTCTTGTCTCAAAGAGCTTGACACCATACACAACCAGTTTAGGAGCATTTCGTACATCTCCAGTGCAGAGTTTATACGTCGAGGCGCACGAGCCCTCATTGCACGACAGACGTGATAAACTTGCACTGCAGTATGCTACAAAAATTGCATCTCTGCCTCATCATATTTCATTTAACACCATATCATGAACATCTATATTTACTGAGAACTAATTTTATTCCATCATTCGGTATTCGCATCCAACCCCTTTTGTCAGAGGCCGGCATCAGTCATGACAGTATTGCGAATACCCCTTTGTTTAGTACTCCACCCTGGACTATATCGCCTCCAAAGATCGATTTAGATCTAACGAAAAACAAAAAGAAAGATACTAGTTCCACGGTGTTTCAGTCTCTCTTTCGAGAGCTGAGGTCTAAATATGGTGATTATGCTCCGATTTACACAGATGGTTCCAAAGATGGTGATCGGGTAGCTTCGGCTACCGTCACACCATCTGGAATCATTTCTGTCAGACTTCCACCTGCTGCTTCCATATTTACTGCTGAACTCCAGGCCATCTTTCAGGCTTTGGAGTTCATTCAATCATCTTCTACTTTAAAACACGTTATATTTACAGATTCTCTGTCCTCTTTACAAGCAATAACCAATAAACAGTTTGTACACCCATTAGTAGCAGACATTTATCGTCTGCTACTATCACATGAGTTTTTCGGCAAGGACACAGTCCTTTGCTGGCTCCCCAGTCACGTTGATATTAAAGGGAATGATCAGGCAGACTTAGCTGCCAAGTCTGCTTTAGATCTTCCCATATCAAAATTCCTTTTATCATTCACCAATTTTAAATCCCCCATTAATTCTTTCATATATGGCCACTGGCAACGGTCTTGGGATCTTGTAGGCACAAACAAACTTAATCACATTAAGCCTCTCCTAGGAGATTGGCCCAACTCCTATAGAACCAACAGGAGAGATGAAGTTGTTTTGTGTCGCTCTCGAATTGGTCATACCTTTTTAACTCACATTTTCATTTTGAAGCGAGAGCCTCAACCGGAATGTGTTCACTGTCATGTTCCTTTGACGGTGAAACACATCTTGATTGAGTGCAAACATCTCAAGTTTATTAGATCTAAATACTACCCTTGCCAGTCATTACGTCAGCTATTTGCTCAACTGGAGTTATATGACAAAGTGCTAACATTTTTAAAAGAGACAAACTTTTATTCTCAATTATAATTGTATATATTTAATCATGTATATCGTTTTAAATATTTATATATGTAAAAGATTTGTTATATTTATTTTTTTTTTAATTATATATTTTCTGTGATATTTGTTTTTATTTACATACATAAATTTAATTATGTGATATTGTTTTAATTTGTCTCGTTAGATTCACCATATGTTTGGCGCAATATAGAACGGTTGGAGCTGACGTGCCATTAAACAACATTTCATTTCATTTCATTTCAAAGAAGGGTTGATGAAAACTGCTGCGTGCTGGTTTATCCAACCCAAGTTTTCTTTCCTATCGGTGCTTGCATAAGATTTACTGTTTATCATATCTTTGCTTTAGTGTGTTACGTTTAATTTGCATGCTTCAAATTGGTTCTACACAGCGAGCAGTAGCCAACATGCTTAATGTGTCACAGTCTGTGATCAGCAGACTATGGAACCGGTACCAACAAACACACAATATTGATGATAGACCCCGTTCAGGTCGTCCTGGAACCACTACACAAACCTAGGATCGATCCAATTGTGCACAGGTCCAGCGAGATCGAGGACAAAACGCCAATCAGCTTTATGTAAACATGTACCAAGTTAAAGAAATTCGAGTTACACCCCAAACAATTAGAAATCGGCGTCAATGGTGTAGGCAGCGTAGAAATTGGGGTAATCGTCGATGGGCGCGTGTAATGTTCTCAGATGAGTCCAGATTTACTCTGGATTTCACCGATAGGCGTGCTCGCGTTTAGAGGCGTGTAAATGGGCGTCATGCTAACGTTAATGTCAGACAGCATGACAGATTCGGGCGTGAGTCTGTTATGATGTGGGGAGGAATCACCATGACTGGCAGAACGGACTTGTATATTGTTCAAGGAGGGGTCACTGGTGTGTACTACCGTGACCACATTCTGGCGCCGATATTTCTGCCCTTTGCTCGACGTTTCATCTTTTAAGGTGATAATGCCCGTGCCCATCGCGCTCGTGTCGTGGATGACTAC